TTTTTTTTTTTAGTAGATAACTGAACTGTCCTTTTCCCCTCTCCTCCCTGTGGCAATAATGAAAGTATTTTCCCTAAATAAAGAAGGCTGTGAATGATTTTATCCAAAACTCAGAATTCCTATTTCTAACAGGCCACTGTGTGGCAGATCTACAGTTTGGCTTTGTTTAGAGCATCTCACATGCAGTCATCTGTCCTGTCGTTCTTCCCTATGTGTGTACTCTGTATTCTTTCCTTTACTTCTGCATCTGCAAGGTCCTTTCTCGTCCTCAAATGGTTGTGTTGAGTCTCCACCTCATCTGGACATCTTTGACATGAAGCCAGTTGAAGAAGCTGTAAAATCTACTGCCCCTTTCATCAGTGCTAGCTTGTCTTCCAGACACACAGTGGAACTATTTAGTGGTAAAAATCAAAACCAAAGCATCTCATTTCTTTGCAAGTGAAGATAATGCTACTAGTAAACTGGGTGGTGTAGTCTTTTGTGTTGTTGGGACCAATCTGCTCTTTTTCTTAACAAATGAAAATGGTGCATTAGTTCCAGTAGTATACGTGGTTCCTTAAACATGTATTTCTCGAGTTCAATTTCCCCATCCTAGACCATTGAAAACTGTCTTTTTGCTGAAAACTTTGCAAACTGCAACTTGGTTTTACTTTTGTAGAGGGGAGGGCGAGTTACTTTCACTACTGGAACTTGCCAGCAGTTCTTAAATTTTAACTGCAGTCCTAAAGCTTAGAGCACTTTCTTCTGTTTTCTCTCTTAAGCTGATCTTTGCTTTGTTTTTTTTTTGTCAAGATGACTTCAGTGGCCGTAAACCTACCTATACCTCTGTGTATCATCCTCTGTCTGTTGATGGTAATTTGATCTCTTTATTTTTTTGACTTCGTTTGCTGAAATGAGTGGCGTTATTTCATGGGTGTACCTGATTCCCCTGTGCTCTTTTTTTAGGTTTCCCTCTTCATTCAGCTCCTCCAAGTGCCACCCCTTCCGCAATCAGTGTGGACTTCGATGCCGTTTTTGGAGGAAAATCTACAGCACCACAGTACAGGACTGCAAGTGGTAAAAGCTGTCTTACGATTAGTTTGCACCCTACAGGCACACAGAATCACAGAATGGCCCAGGTTGGAAGGGACCTCAAGGACCATGAATCTCCAACCCCCCTGCCACAGGCAGGGTCACCAACCTCCCCATTTAATGCTAGACCAGGCTGCCCAGGGCCCCATCCAATCTGGCCTTGAACACCTCCAGGACGGGGCATCCACCGTCTCGCTGGCAGCCTGTTCCAGTACCTCACCACTCTCTCTGTAAAGAATTTCCCCCTGACATCCAACCTAAATCTTCCCTCTCTCAACTTAAAACCATTTCCCTCCAGGACCCCCCAGGTTCTTCTCTGCAGGGCTGCTCT